GTAAAATTGCACTGTATACTAATACGGTTGTACTGTATTCCGTAAAATTGCACTGTATACTCTGGCACCCCTGGTGTTAATTTTTTTTGAGGTGTGCCACGTGAAATTCTTTATCCACGGTTTGACATTTTAGGACAAAAAATTCTGTTTGCCTTCCAAATTAGCCTCTACCAGGCTTCGGAAGGCGACTGGATAGAGTAAAAATCGACGAAATAGAGAGATAACATGCCAGGGGAGTTGGTCTGCTGGAGAGAACTGCAGTTTGCGGCAAAATGTTCTCTCTAGCGGACCAACTACCTTGGCATGTTGTCTCTTTATTTGACCGATTTCTACTATTTCCAGCCGCCTGCCGATGCCTGGTAGAGGCTATTTTTAAGTAGAAAAGTAAAGCCACACCACCCAATGGTGTGTACTAGAACAGTGAAGTTGTCAAACAAAAGGACCGATCTCTATTATCAACACGGCTGAGATTACAGTGTGTGTGTGTGTGGTGGGGGGGGTCCAACTCCCTACTCTCCAAGCAAAGGTTTGTGGGGAAGATTGTTACAATCTTTTCCCCACCAACCTCTGCTTGGAGAGTACAACCTGGAAACACTGTTGTGAGAAACAGAGTACACCACGAATGTGCTGTGATATCAAGTACTGTGCGAAAACGCTTAAATAGGATAATTGATAGCGTTGTGGTGACCGAGCGAACTCTAACAAGGATATGCAACAAAAACCTTTGCCAAGATAATCCTTCATTCCCCTTATACGGAGGCCGCGCGCCAAGACCGGGGTTGCCTCCATAGTATGCCAAAAACTGGGGGTTTTGGGGGGTCTTCAGAGTCTTCGGGAGCTTTTATGTGCTATTTTCTGATTGCATATAGACAACATATCCGGCCTCGTTGAATTACCGCGTTCTTAGAACTGGGCTGATCAGACAACGGCCGAAAAGACCACCAAACCCCAGTTTTATAAGCCTGCTACGGAGGCTAAGACCGAGGCATGGTCAGAGGCGTGGGCAGGAGTTTGTGAGAGGATTATAACTGTGTTGGCAGCAAGTGAAAACGGATTTCTCTTTTCTGTACGTCAGTCATGTTGGAAAGGTATGGGTTAGGCGTTAGGGGCTCCAAGGGAAAGGTACTGTCACACACACAGAGCCGAATATGGTCTCCCGAACACTGCAGAACTCTCCCCAACCATGACTAGGGGTAGGTCGGGAGTAGGTCGGGAGTAGGTCGGGAGTGGGTCGGGAGTGGGTCGGGAGTAGGTCGGGAGTAGGTCGGGAGTAGGTCGGGAGTAGGTCGGGAGTAGGTCGGCTAGTGTTCGGCCAGGTCGGCTAGAGTTCGGCTATTTAAAAATGTTTAAAACGTTCAGATGTGGACAGGAGGTCCGGCTATGGTTGGGTGGTGTTATATAGAATAGATGGGGGCGTGGTTGGAAGACAAATTTGACTAAAATTTCACTCAAATTCGAGTTGATTCGTATCAAAAGGTAGTCGTGGCCTAAATCTGGCCAGTCTGCTTTTGAATTTCAGCCAAACTTAGTCGGCTGGTGTTCGGGGGAAGATTATGAATATATATAACGAATGCTATCAACGACATATGACACGTCGAATGACAGAATTAAGGGGCAAAAATATACTTATTTTTTAGAGGAAATTTCTCTTACAGAAGGACACATAATTTTGTCAAGTTCCCCACTGCAGAATTTTAGTACCAGGAGGATACGAACACAGACAACTCACATCACACTGAACTTTTCGTTTATTTATACAAACAGTCAAGGCCAAGTTTAATTGGATTCCAAGACGCAGAAGGACGTTCGTGTGTTTCCTTCAGAAATGTGATAACTAGTTATACCGCAGTACTAGTACCACCCGGCCCGTGTATAAAGAACATGTACACATTAGACCAATTAAAATCTATAGATGGAATCCGAAGTGTAAGCAGAACTAGCATGTGTCAGATGGGGTGGGGGATGGCCATGATAGGGACAAACCGGCCAGCCTGCAAGTTTGAATTCTCTGCATCTGTGATGTCTGAATGGCCAGTGGTTGGCGTGTGGAATTTAGTCCGTGTGATATATAATCCACATAGAAAAAGGCAGACACAACCGCATTCCTCTAGAGCAAATGATTTGCCAATTTTGCGATTTAAATAAGATTGAGGATGAGTATCATTTAATTTCGTAGTCGATTGTACGTTATATAGTGATGAGAGAGATTTCCTATATTCTTATATAATAGATACGTTCCCTAGCTTTGGACATTTAAATGAAGCAGAAAAATTCATATTTCTTATGAAACTTGACAAACCATGTATCACTAGGTCTATATGCTCCTACATCTATAACTGCGTCAAGAAGCGAGAAGAAGTCGAACAATGTAAATAGTGCGCATTAGTATGTATAGTTTAAGTATCATTGCTGTATCCTTTTTCCTTGTCTATTCATGACCTGTACTTAGCTTGTTAGAGCACAAACGTACAATAAAGGTCTCATTCATTCATTCATTCATTCATTCATTCATTCATTCATTCATTCATTCATTCATTCATTCATTCATTCATTCATTCATTCATTCATTCATTCATTCATTCATTCATTCATTCATTCATTCATTATAAGAATTCTCGATTTCCATACGTCTCAGACCTGAAGCCCCCATCACATGCACACAATTTGTAGCTTTCGTAGGACCATCGTGATTGTGTTCAGCTGTCTTATATATGATGGAAAAGATTGCCGTACGCGTAGATTCTTGCTGAGGGTGGGTTCTATCGTATCACAGTCTTTGCTAAAAAAACAAGAGTCCGGAAGTTCTGCTGCATTACCAAGGTCATCCACCAGGAGACCCATACTTGACCTTGACCTTTGTCTTTCCAAGACTTACCATCATACCAAATATCATCACAATCCATAAAGGCGTTCTGAAGTTATGCTGACGACAAAGTTGCGGAAACACACACAGACACACACACAGACACACACAGACAGACAGACATACAGACAGACACGCCAAAAACAATACCTCCATTTTTCATGGAGGTAAAAAAACCTGCGTTAAAAAAAATCCTAGTACGAAATGTGACGTGTCACAGCAAGACCAGCCCTATCGTATTTCACCATCCATTTCTACATGTGCCAACTATGACCTTACGGTGGTCTACTGTGGTCCTGTGACGGCTTTGTTAGTGATTTCCGATCGTGTTCCGGGGCGAATTTGTCACTTCAAAGCGGCCCGCCATGATAAATTGGTGGCACCGTGTCAGGGCGATTGACGCAGAGAAGCGACCCCTGGCGACACCTGGTAGGTTCAACACGTAGACCGCATGCGCTGGTAAACCGTCCTGGCAGGTTCAGTAAGGCCATGTTGATTTGATTATATGGATGACATCCACGCGCGCATGAATTTTCGGCCGTTTCCAAAAAAAAAAGTTTTCAACCATACTGTAAATCGTACAAAACAGTTGCAAAATGAGCAAAAATATACCATAAGTTACAAAAAAAATTACTAAAAACTATACCAATGTCGTAGAATGCCAAAATCAAACGAAAAAAGACGAAATTGTAAAGAAATGAACTTGAAGACTAGATTATTCGCCAAACCATATTCTGTGCCATTTGCTCAACCCTCATGACCACGTAGATTTCATAATGAAAAGAACTTTTTTTTTGCAAAACTTTTTTTTATTCGCACGCGCGCATCAGTTTTGGGGCTCCCGGAGGATGTCATCCATATAATCAAATCAACATGGCCTAAGCGGGGGCGGCTGAAGAAACGCTCAGCGCGGAGCCCTGTTGTTTTTGGCAGGCGTCTCCCTGGCATTTCTCCGGTTTGCTCTAATCGCCTACTCTTGGTTCAAGTCCTGGGAGATATACGGCACGTCAGGAAAGGCAAACCGTGCTATTGATACATGTGTGGGCCGAGGGGCATTAGGCTGGTAATGTGAGGGGAGGACGGTGAAGGTTAGGCCACACCAAGTAAATTTTATGGATGACGTCCGCGCGCGCATTGATTTTGGCCTGTTCCTAGAAAAAAAACCCAAGAAATTCCGCTTCCTGTAACTATGACCAAAGAGTCACGACAGTGCCGCACGTAACGTGAAATGGGTAAAGAGCACATGCTTTGTTTCTGCAGGCCTGCAAAAAATGTGATGAAAGAAACAGGACAGGACGATGACTGCTGTTCCACCTGATTCATTGCTTTTTTGATGATGAATAACTTCTTGCTTGTTACACTGCGTCACCTCATTCAATTTGTGTCCTAACATTTGTCGTCTCTTAGTTTATTTCTAATCTAGGCATCTTGTTTTTTAGGGCCCTTCTTGTTTTTTTTGCCCTCTCGCATTAGATTTAGGGTCTCCAAAGGACGTCATCCATAAAATTTACTTGGTGTGGCCTTACGAAGAAGGGTGGCTGTAGACAGGAAGACAACTTACTTCTCAAGAAAGTGGAAAATTCAAATAAAGATGACACTAGCAATCAAAGGCAGGGCAATTACTCTAATTACTCTTATTACGTGGTCAATAAATACGTTTTTATTCAATGCAACACAAATTTCGCTAGTATGACTGAGAGTAGGAGTAAAAACTACAAGACTAGACTGCAATCTTTCCATGCTTTTTAGCTATACGATGACACAGAAATCTTTTATTTTCTTTGTGGAGGAAAAATATGCTGACAAATGTATATTACGCCGTTGTGAAATATTGATATTGAAAAGAAATTTAATATCTTCATAATATGGTAAAATATTGTATTGAAATCGACGGAATTTAACAATAATCATTGTATGACTTTATGCAGCAAGTTTAAACTGTAATTTCCAACACAAGAAATTGGACTCCCGAACCCAAATTTTCGACTCTACAACTCCAGTCTTTGTGTTGGAAATTACAGTCTAAACTTGCTGCATACAGTCATACGATGATTATTGCAAAATAATGACTTCTACCAACACAGATGAACTTTCAAGATAACATTGTATAACTTTCCTTCTTTTTATTTTTAGATCCAGACATTTCGGAAGTTCATTCAACCGAAGAGTTGCCCATCCGCAGACTGTATGATGGTTTGGCACACAAACTGCGTGGTAGGCGTCCTATGAACCACAGAACTTGGCACAGGAAGACCACATCGAGAACGAACATCCCCGGGGACTTCAGTTTCCAAGGAACGACAAAAAGTTGGCAAAAACACGAAGAATCTCGCATCTGGAATAATAACAGCGACGATATTCTGTTTCAAGTCAAGTCCGCAGAGGACAGCCTGTTTTCGACAGATGTGGGGCCCGCGAGCGACAGCGCATGCGCGATCCCTGACCTGAAGGCCCCGGATGACCTGTGCTGGAGGAACGTGACGTGGAGATGTAACATGAGCTCCACATTCTCTAAACTCATCAACAGGTGGGATGATATATCTATGGTACTCTTAGGCCGTGTCTATACGGAATCACCCAAGGCGGTTTACATGTGGTTTACCCCGAAGCCGGTTTCAAGTGGCTCCATGTGAACGCCCCGAAATCACATTGAAAGCGCCTCGATCCCAAGCCACTTCTAGAGGTGGTTTCGAATCGGTTTCCCCGCATCGCGATTTGCGTCTGAACGCAATGTGATTTCAATGTGACTTCGCCTGGTCATGGATTACGGGGTGATATTTCTTTATTTATATGCAATACCAACTTTTACGTGGCAGCAACTTAAAGAGCAGTAATGGTCAAATAATGTGTCCGTTCTAGGGCGAGCTTCACCGCCTCTGGCGGGACCACGTCGGCATTCGGCCGAGATACGCTGGGAGGGGGGCATCAGCATCAGGTCGTTGACCTCTGACATTAATAACACGCCACCTTGCGTGTTATCATCAAACAGCAATAAATGTAGCTCAAGCGTATTGTGATCGGACACGGTTTCACAGGTGTGTGTGGCACGTGGACCAGATGTGAGGAATGTGAGTTACCCGAATCGCGGTTTGGGTGATTCCGTATAGACACGGCCTTAGACGATTTCAAACTACCCTTCTCTTCTCTTGAGTGGGGGTTTAGGTATTTAGCGCTAAGACCATGTTGATTTGATTATATGGATGACATCCGCGCGCGCATGAATTTTCGTCCGTTAAAAAGTTTTCGACCATACTGTAAATCGTACAAAATGAGCGAATATATGTCGTATGTTGCAAAAAGAATGTATTGGATACTTATGTCATAGGACGCCGAAACGCAGGAAAAGAGGAAAAGAAAATGAAGAGTCTATCATTATTCGCCATACCATTCTCTATGTGTTAAGTCATTTGTTTAACCTTTATACCCACGTAGATTTAATAATGAAGGCAACTTTTTTTTTATACGCACGCTTGCATCAGTTTTGGGGTTCCTAGAGGATGTCATTCATATAATCAAATCAACATGGCCTTACAGTAAACAAAAATCCTTTGTAATTGTATTTTTTATTCAGAAAAACAACAATAATGAATAAAAATTAAAGGACACACACAAAGTGACTGTGACCTTAAGTTAAGCAAAACTTCTATTCTCGCAGCCACTTATACAATGAAACATAAAGGTATTTTTCAAGACGTTTGAAAAAGTGTAGATTCAAAAGAGATCTAGTTGAAGCGTGAGTCAAAATCTCCCATCCTAGAAGAAAAGATAGCAAAACAGGACACATATTGCTAAAAGTGTATTTCACGTGATTTTTTTATATCTAATTATTTATGCAGAATAAAAAAAAACTAATGGCACAAACCTTTTCCTTTCATATTTTTTTTTTCACAGGACAATCCACGTGAACTGTCCGGGAACTTTCCGAGTTAACTTTCTGGAGAGACGAGAGCACGAGGCCCCCCTCCCCAGCGGGCAGTACGTGGAGTATCCCCAGTGGAAGTACTACGAAGGGCCCACTTCCGTGACCATGGAAACAAGCTATGCAGATGTCGTCTGCAAGGATGAAAAGTACGAAGAAAGAACCTCTTGTCATTCCTTTTCTTTGTCGCTTAAAGGCCTCCAGTACAGTTTTTAGGGCTTGAAAGCCATTTATCTACATACTGAGTTGAAATAACTCTATCCCAATGTATATATTGACCCTCATGGAGCAAAATTTACCAAAATCCCGACGGAAAATGGTTACTTGAAGGACCCTGGGCTGATTTTCAGGGTATAAACCCACCCAGCAAATAAAAGACTCATCTTGGGGCTTGCCTCTTTAGTTTTAAAAGCCAAAAGTATGAAATACTGACTCAAATGTGCTAATGTAAAGCAGTATGTGTCAATACCTCAAAGATTGCCTTCTACTGAATATTTCCAGTTTTGCTGCCCTGAAATCGCATCGGATGCAGCTACTAGCTGCTTGAAAATGCATCATGCTTCGCGTCAGTTGAACATGGCAACTCTATTTTTCTAGTAAAATGTTGAACTTTATTCCAACACAAGGGTTACACAGAGATAAACTTTTCTACGAAAACTTACGACCACTGTCGCCTTCATCAGGATAATTAATGACCGGTCGACCAATCACTTCCGAACGTAATCTCGCGAGAGTTACGGTTACAGACACATGAGACTTTGCGGGTACGTGACGTCAGCAATTCATCAAATGTGCCAGGGAGTTTATATCGTCCACCGTCTCTGTTAAGTGATGGCTGGAGTGCCTTTATATAAATGGACTTCTCAATGCCCCTTAAAACGAGAACTCCAAGAACTCCAAGAACTCTCTAGTAGAGTGGAACTCGCTGTCACCAAGCACAGTTGGGGCATCATCACTAGAAAGCTTTAAACAACTTCTGCAATTAAATGTGCAAAAATTGAGTGTAACAAGTCGTTCGGTGGGATATAGCTAGCTGCCGCCGTGCCGCGTGCCTGCAAAGCTGGTGTGTTACGTCGAAGGGCGGTTATACCAGCTATATATATCGATAGAGATACAGATATTTGTGTAATCCTCGTGTTGGAATAATGTTCAACATTTTACTTATAATGGTTACTACCAACACCATTGAACTTTCATGCTTACTTTTTTTCTTTTATTCCAGCGGAAAAGACCAACACAACTACCACACACAGTTCCTACAGGATGACGACATAAACGAGTCTCAGAGACAGAAGTTTCTGGAGACGAAGACGAAGGAACCGTCATGGAAGCCACTGTCTGTGCTGTCCATTAGCCTAGACTCCGTGTCACGTGCTCACTTCCACCGGCCGTGCGGGCTCCCAAAAACATCCGCCTTCCTCAGGAAACTTTACTATGGTGCAACCGAAGGTATGATTTTGACTTTGACAACATTTTTGATTAGGCCAAAGCAAGAATTTTTTATGGATGACATCAGCGCGCCTGACTTTAGGAAAAAAAACAACAAGAAATTTTGTTGCCCTCTGACAGTGGTCAACATGCCAAAAATATGTCTGTTACCATGCTGGAAGGTGAATGGCAGATAACTATGAAGAGAGGAGACAAGAAAAGGCTCTGATTTAATATTTTGTTTCTTACTTTGATGCAGTGATATGTGATGCTGGCTGTGTATATGTGATGCTCCTACTGAATCAAAACCATTTGTACAATGAATGAGTCAAAATTTTATTTAAATGTAGAAACCTTGTTTTTGTCGGCCCGCTCGTATTAGATTTGGAGTCTGTGGAGGATGTCATCCATAACATTTACTTGCATGCTGTGGCCTTATTAAAATTATATTAATGTCATTTTAAAAGTTATAATTCAAGTTGAGCAACTGTAGAAACTGTGCATCTATGGCAGTTTGCAGACATTTTTGATGTAACGTTACTTCCCACCCTTGCTTGTTTTCACTGTTTTGTTGTTCTACATCTATAGATCAAAATGGCGGATCACTCTCCCATCATGCATTTCTCTTCAACCGCCTGAACGCCATTTCCGGTTCGACAGTGATGAACCTGACCCCGCTGTACGCAGGTCAGCTGTACGACGAGGTGGACGAGGAGAAGGTCAGGAACAGAGTGTAAGAATATAATAATTGAAAGTTTATTGCAAATTCATGCCCGGGGGCTAATTGCAAGAACATGATAACAACAGTAAACAGTAGAATGATAATAAGTGATGCTAATGCTACTTTATATATACATTTGTAGTTATTGTTGGGTTTGATTTCTTTTCCGTGTGCAGTGGAGTATGAAATGATCGACATTTTGCGAGATATATGAATTGGGAGGTGTTAATAGAAATGCAGTTTTTTGTAGGCTGGGAAGGTGAATAAAGCTGGGGAACATTTTGGTGACCACTTCAAATAACTGATCTCTTTCGGTGCTATAATGAGGGCAGTGACAAATAAAGTGCATTTCATCCTCCACTGCGTTTCCTGTACAATATTTACATATTCTGTCGTTAACAGGCAATTGTTTGTATCTACCCTTTTCCATTTCTAATGCATGTGCACTAACTCTAAGCTTACATATGGCTCATCTAACATCGAAGTCTTTGATGTGAATTCCTTCTAGGGTAGCCAAATATATGCGGATCCCGCATTATGATCACACATCAATTTTTCATGGTTATCAGCATCCAATGTAGTTTTTAGGGCTTAGATTTTTTAAAGTCAATATTCTAGTCACTTACTAAATATCTACAAGTTGAAACAATAATGTCCCAATATATATCGACATTGATTGGGCAAAAATTCTGACGAACGGTTACTGGCATGGAAGAACCTAGGATGCCACCCAGAAAATAAAGGAATAATCTTGGGGCTTGTTTCCGAAGTTTTAAATGAATAGATTTTAAGTATGAAATACTGATTCAAATGTGCCGATGTGGGACACTATGTGTCAATATCATACAGATTATCTTATTCAGAATATTTATGGGTTCACCACACCACGAAGTGGTGTGGTGAAACCATATTGCTTTTTCTGATGTTTCTTCTCCTTCTCCTTCTTCTCCTGCCATTTTTTAAA